CCCTGCAATAAGTATCTTCAGGCCGGAATGGATTTCAAACAAAATAACTAAAGTTTATTGATTGGTACATTAAGATTGGTATAACAAATAAATCAGGTAATCACATAAAGAAAGGCTCTAGCTCACACAGACTCATATCTCCACACAATCTGATCACTATCTCATCTCAACACTCACAGATCCTGATCTGCCCCTCACACACATTCACACCCCTATATATCCCAGCTTCTCCCCCTGATGTCCCGCCTTCCGACCACCATTGGATGTTAACACTCCAGCCTAAACCTTGAAGGACAGGTGACATCATAGCTGTTTGTAACACCTGGTTCGGATGCGGGCAGATGGTAGTCAAAACGACTAAAAGACAGGGCAGAGTTAGAAAACTGTAGCTACTCACAGAGTCCAGTCATTCAGACAGAAGAGCTGGCTTGGCTGTCAAGGCTTTATTTGGTTGTAGTTTGAACTGATATTATTAAACCTGGAAAGTCAGGTAACTAGGCTAGAATTGCAGCCTAGAGGGTGCCGTCTCTGTGTAAGGTCATGTCTGTTTGATAAAATAAGTCAGAGAGCAGGTAGTGCAGAAGATGAGGTGCTTGAGACCATAAAGGCCATGGTTTGAGATTATCTGTCCCCTAGCAAGTCATAGGCACATGAGAAGATAAAGATGGGGAGGGAAACTCATGCAACCAGATTGAATCATGCTTATTTTAGAAAACCAGGCCCAGATACGAAACTTAAATGATGGACCAAAAGCAGTTGTGGTTGAAAATAAGAACAAATTTTGTGGAAGGGTTTTAATGTATTTTACCAGTGATATAGTTCAAACTGTAAAACCATTGCAAGTCCAATTTCCAAGGAACATATACAGTCCCGGAGTGAAAAATAATAAAAATAGAGTAGCCAAAATCCTGTTGCTTTCTTACACAGGTGGAAGACAAATGGCATAACAATCACTTGCCTCCAGCCAACAATTAACAAGTTACCACTGCAGGTCTTGGGGGTGCACACAGCCAGTGGTTTAGCATGCATGAGAAATCCTGCAGGGACCGTTAACAGCCAACTAGAAGCGGGTGAATGTTACATCGTTTGCCTTCTGCTGTGTAAAAAACCAACAGGATTTCAACCACTACGTGGAGTAGTTCATTCACTTAATTTATTTTTGCTTCTTTTAAAACAGTGAACAATTTCCAAGGAACATATACAGTCCCGGAGTGAAAAATAATAAAAATAGAGTAGCCAAAATCCTGTTGCTTTCTTACACAGGTGGAAGACAAATGGCATAACAATCACTTGCCTCCAGCCAACAATTAACAAGTTACCACTGCAGGTCTTGGGGGTGCACACAGCCAGTGGTTTAGCATGCATGAGAAATCCTGCAGGGACCGTTAACAGCCAACTAGAAGCGGGTGAATGTTACATCGTTTGCCTTCTGCTGTGTAAAAAACCAACAGGATTTCAACCACTACATGGAGTAGTTCATTCACTTAATTTACTTATTTTTGCTTCTTTTAAAACAGTGACACTTTCAAGATTGCCCTTGCAGAGACAGGGTAGAAAAGGGCTCTGCAGTCTTGTATTTCCATACTTGAACACTTTTCTTGGAATCTTGCTGAAAGTGGTTTTCAGCCATCTTCTACTGTCCTGTTGAAGCAGATGGGATGTAACCAGATCCTGCAGGCAAGGCCAGGACGTTTGTAATCCAATTAACATAGCTCTTGTCCAGTCTTGATTTTCTTTGTTCCAAGAACACTCAAGAGTGCCAGGCTGCCTGCTTCTCATGTAACTTCATCACTCTCACCATCCTGCCCCCACCCCTACTTTTTTCTCCCTTTGAATATTAAAGCCTGAAGAAGAGGTCTTTGTTGCATGATTCCATGTCATGTTGAATATGAGTTGCTGGCATGAAAATTATTGCTTTGACTTCTTGTTAGTGTTTTTACAGGAACTGTACATGTTGCTATACACATTTGTATATTGTAAATATATATATGTACATATATATTTCTGTTTACATTTTAAAAATTTGTGCTGAGTTTTGTAGGTGTTAATCATTTTTTAAAGCAGAAGAAGAATTCTTTGTCATGGTGTTAATCATTTTTTAAAGCAGAAGAAAAATTCTTTGTCATATGAGACCATGTCATTTGAACCTGTTACTTCTGTGAAAAATACTGCTTTTACTTGTTTATCTACATCTCTCTCACGTATACAAAAGTGCCTTTTCTGTATTGTAACTATGCAACATATGTATATATTCTTTATAGACATGTATTTCCCCCTAATATACATTGAGTTTTGATATTAGCCATTATTCATTACCGTTAAATTCAATTAAGCTCTCCAGTGAACTATGATGTGGTGTGATGAACAAGGCCATGCCCTGGGAAGGTATGGGTTAGGGTGATACTGCAGATTGTGGAAGCTGGAAATCAAACCATAGTTTATTCATTGCAGATGCTATGTTTAAGGCAAATTATGTTTACAATCCTACTCCAAACCTTTGGTTTCCATGCTGATTTAATGCTAATTCTTAATACCAATTTATATTATATAGTATTTTCTATTAAAACATAATATGCAACTGTGGTTGACAAAAACAAACTAGGTTAATTGAAATATAATATGAAGCCATGGATTGTAGTGACTGTAGCATAGTTTCAAAATGACAATTGGCATTTGAGACAAACAGACAAGTCATGGATCAGAACTTTTGCCTCTTTTCCTCCACCTTTTTGAGGATATCCCATCCCCAGATTATCCTGAAGAGTGACTTTAAGGACAGAGCAACATGCCAGACCATATTTTATCAAGTCAGTTTGCAAACTGAGTTCCTAGATCCTGGTTTGGCTGCTTGAAAAGTATAGTTTGTTGTGTGTTGATGGGGTTAGGTGGTTTTACATTAATTCTGAAAAATTTCCTGATGTTTCTGTGCCGAATTTGCAAGTAGTCTATGTGCTACATTTGTGTGTAGATTTTAAGTGTCCTTTGCAGTTAATTTCAATTTCTGGTTGTGCTAGTTTTTTGATGAAGATGCATAAAACTTATAAGCTTTATCATAGTGTGGTTTGAAATGTTTGGGCTGTGAATTTCCCCCTGAAGCTGTTGAGTATTGTACACTTGGGAAAAATGAGAGGTTCTTGTTCATTTGCACTAAGCATATGTCACAGCAGAGGACTGATCTGCATGAAACAATATATTATATTCTTGGTGCTGTTTTGTTGTAATGGGGTCTGGCTCTTGCTAATCCCATTCCTTTTAGATGTTTGTTTATGTACTGTACTTTTGAAGAAGGACTTTGTCTGAAATATGGTGGGCTCATAATAAATAGTTTCTCCCAGCACCTGGACTGTATTCCTGGTTCTATACATAAATCACAAGGAGGGATATAACGTGGGTGGGAAGCAAGTACTTGTGCCTTTTCTCCTTCAGTACTGAAAGCAATTTTTCTTTGGGTGGAACTATACTTAGTTCCTCTCCCAACACTTCATACCTAGATTAACATTTTGTTTCAGCTCCTGGCAACAGAATTAAAAAGTTTCAACTGGTCATCTCAGATTGACCTAGAGTTCACTTCAGGTAAAAAAATTAAATCTAGACTATGACATCTTGTTTGTCAGTGTGGCACTCCTTACTGCTTAATACAGAGTTAGTGTTCAGATAAATGTATCTGAAATTTGGATCTGAAGTCTGGAGCTAGAGCTTCACAGAATACCTGCTGAGGAATCAGTTAAATCTGTGGTATCTACCTTGTGTTGCCACTTCCAAGTCCTCATCAGACCTCCTTTTTCTCAGTTTCCTAGATAGGGGAAAGTCATGGTGTTTGTGTCTTGGCCATATTTAATTTTGGTTTTTATTCTGGAATTTACAAATCCTGTATTTCAGCATTTTTGTATGAGGTCCACTTTCTAGTTGGGTTACTATGTAAAGATCTTGGCCCTTTGTTTGTTTGTTTTTGTTTTGAGCTCTTATATATGGTTATGTAGTGGCATTTGTGTAGAGAATAGAAAAACTGAAGTTTTTACCCTGAGGGTCACGGTGATGGTGCTTTGTTGGTCTTGCTGTTATGTGGTACCAGCGGCATGGGTGATACTTTATACAGGTACTTCTCTTCCCCCCCCCCCCAAACTTGCAATTTAAAGTTAATTAAAGGAAGTACATAAGAGGAAGGGGATTGTTCCTAAAAATGCTTGATATTCATGTGTGTACAGGCATTTTTGAAAATAGAAGTAACCGAAGGTGATCTTCATGAATTGAAGAAAATGGCTGTGAACGTGAAGGAATTTATACGCAGAAGATGTGGCTTTATCAGGCACATGATGAGTCATATGTGCTAAAGGAAAACCAATTTATGTAGCCAAATCTTGTAAACTTTACAATAGCTGCTAAGAAGAACTTGAAAATGTTGACTTCTGCCTTGTGGGAACCTGGATGTTGCTGGGAATCCAAAGTGTACATGCTTTGCAGTTTTATTAAGTGCTTATATTTATCCCCTCCTTTCTTGCAGCACCCTTTACATAGCACAGATTATTTTTCAGCATGAGGGAAAGTAGTCTTCAGAGTTGGCTTTTGGAAGAAATACAAGAGACTGTTGTGGAAAGGAACCTTCAGTAGGAGGTTTTTGTATCATGACGGATTTCCTCTAGAGAAACTGTGCTTTTGGAGCACGAAGGCACAAAGGGGTGGTCTTTTAGGGTGACATTTGAAACTGGAGCACCAATCACATGGTGGCAGGCTGAGGCCACTTGCTGTGTTACGCATTCTGATATTCCTCTGATGCTCTTTGCTTCTGCAGCACGGAGCAAGGACCAACTCCTGTTGAGAAGAAGAAAAAAGGGAAAAGGAAAAGTGACACTCCAGTGGACAGCCTAGAGCTGGATCAAAGTCTCCTTTCTGTGTCTGGGCAGAGCCCTGGGGAGTCTGCTGAATCAGCTGACAGCCAGGTATGCTTGGCCCTCTCATCTTTATGGGGACAGAATCTCTTGAACAATCACAGCTACTGTTATCGTGTGTGATTTTCTAACTGTGTGTAACCAGTTCCTGTTCAATTAGTGATAGTTGTGTTTTTTTTTAATTGGAGATTTCCTTTTTTACATCATGAATTCTATATATAGGGAGCCTGAAAGAATGCATTCAGAAGATTACATCTTGTGGACAAGAACAGTAGTATGGGAAGCTGCTAAACTGTATTCATTTAAATTCAAGGGCCTTGCTTTTGTATTGTGTGATCCCTTTTCTTCATGGACTGCATGGTCTCTTCAGTTCTTGTGCTTGCTTGTGCCTGTGTCTTCAGTGTGGAAGGGATTGCCGCTCTCGAATTGGCCTTCTCAGCCAGACTAGATGCTGTTCCAAGTCCTCCATACAGAGCATGTTACCATAGTCTCTCGAGACTGAAGGATGCCTAATCTTGTGCCTTTGATATAGACAGTTAGGGACCATCACCAGTATATGTGATTTTTAGGGGCAGATGTGCAGTATTTATGTATGTCCTCTTAAAAAGAGCAAGACGTTTCTATCTAGACATGCTGTCAGGAACAAATGGCATGCAGAGTAAGTTCTCAACTTCACCGCCTCCTTCCAAGCATTTTTCTAGTGAGTAATATTGGCATGTGGGTGAAGATGCAGGATAACCTAGAATAAGTGAGGGGGGACCTGTTGCCCTCAAGATGTTATTAGATATGGTACCGTAGAAGTTACAGCACTGCAGCATCTGTAAGGCAACAGTTTTCCTGTCTTCAGTTCTAGCTTCATCTCAGGAGTGCTATAGGTTCTTTACCTCTGAGTTAAAGGACAGCTGAGTGTTGGTCTGGTGAAGTGTAAAAAAAGCACATGTATTTATGGATGAAAGTGATTAGAAAGCTGGTACAGAGTTTGAAAGACAGCTAGAGGGACTGTGCTGAGCTGAAGTCAAGGCAGTTTCACACTTGCATCTTCAACACTTAATAATACTATCAGCCAGTGGTGCATTGTACATACATCAATGGGCCTTAATCAATGAAAATTTTATATTCTTTCATTTTTACTTGGAAGCAAAGCTTTTCCTTCTACACATTTCTCTGTGCAGTCACAAGGGCTAAGTACTACAGCAGTTTGAAATCAGGAGACATACAGTGGTGCCTCACGTGACAACGCTAATTCGTTCCAGGGAAATCGCTGTAGAGTGAAAACGTCGTCAAATGAAATAAAAAACCCATTGAAACGCGTTGAAAACCGTTCAGTGCGTTCCAATGGGCTGAATACCTGCTCATCCAGCGAAGATCCTCCATATGGCAGCCATTTTCGGTGCCTGTAAAGCGAGGAATCCATCCTAGTAAACAGCAGGGGGCCATTTTCTTCAGCCGGTGGCCATTTTGAAACCCGACAATCAGCTGTTTGCTGATTGTCGTAAAGCAAAAATCGGTTCCTGAAGCAGGGAACTGATCATAACACAGCGAAAAAAACCATTTACAGTGGGGTCTCTACTTAAGAACGTCCCTACTTAAGAACAATCCAACTTAAGAACAACTCCATTTGCTAAATTTTGCTTCTACTTGAGAACAGAAATCCAAGATAAGAACAGGAAAAAAAACCTTTCCTGCTCTTTTTTTAACCTTAGGTCATCTTAGGTTAAAAAAAAATTCTCCCCCTAGTGGTAGAGTACGTATTAACCAGCTTTGCATTAGTTCCTATGGACAGTGAAAAAACCCCATTTAAAACATCATTTCGCAAAAACGTCAACATAAAGCAAATTCATCGTAAAGCGGGATAATCGTCCAGCCGTAGAGACCCCACTGTAAAACATCATTTTGCGATTGCAAAAGCGATCGCAAAAACGTCAACGTAAAGCAGATTCATCATGAAGCGGGATAATCGTCCAGCAGGACATGACTGTATGTGTGTGAACTGGCTCCCAAATGCACTAATATTGACCAGAAAGTTTCTGATTTGAGTAGATGTCAGAGAAGCATACCAAATGGAACTTTCTGTATACTTTACACACTGTATACACACGTGTAAAAAGAACTGTGTGAAAGTGAACTCTGAACCCAGCAGGGAATTTACTTGGAGAGTTCTTAAACATGAAGGGAGTGGTGGGTTGCTGACTGCCAACTCCAGGAAAAATAAAAGTGGGCAAAACAGATTTGGGGAAGGTAGATACAAGTTGTGTATAATGTCTGTGACCAGAGAGTTGATGATGACAATTATTTTCTTCTCTGCTTTCTCAGCACTGCTTAGGGACTTGGTGGAGAGGTCTAGGAGCAGGTACTGTAGTTATAGAATCACAGTGAGACTGATTAGGGCATTTAAAGGAACAGAAAGGTGGGATTTGACTAAGTTATATATATATATAGAGAGAGAGAGATTTGGGATTATTTTTAACTATTTCCCAAATGTTATATATTAAACAGAAATTTATTCATTACCTGTTGTGTGACTTGAACAGGCTATAGTTTTCTTTACTGTCTGGGATTTATAAAACCTTTCAGCATGGATAGATCTGTACTGTAGAACTGCTTCCTTTTCCAGTGGAGCATCATATCAATGACTGGAGTGCAGGGTTCATAGAGTAGGCACCAACTTTACTTTGAGTGTGCAGTTGTTGAACTTATGGGGTGTTTATCGGGTCATTGCCTGTATCTTACAAAATATTGGGTAGCTACGTTCTCAGTGCTTTAGTTTTGCAAGGGCTGGGAGAATATTTGCTGAGTTCTGGGAAGTGTGCTGCCATTTGTGGCTAGATGGGTACATGCTGGATCTTACCTGATCTTTGTTTTATATGCAGAAGCGACGCTCTGGACGCCAAGTAAAGCGCAGAAAGTACAATGAAGATCTGGATTTCAAGGTGGTGGATGACGATGGAGAAACAATAGCTGTACTCGGAGCTGGCCGGGCTTCTGCACTGTCTGCATCTACCTTGGCCTGGCAGGCAGAGGTATGGCTTGAGCTATTGAAGAAACAGTTTTTGCCTCTTTGTATCCATGTAGTGAAAGGTTTCTTGCTTGTATAGAAGAGAAATAGCCATGTGGCTCATAGATGTATGGGCTGATACTTTCAAATGTTTGAAAGAAGACATAAATATGCATTGGTGCTATGGTCAAATCCATGGAGTTTTTTTTTTTTTTACCAGCTCAACTTTCAAGTGAGCTGAAGTCTAGTTGCAGTTATCAGACAAAGATTCTTTAGGTGTTGGAATACACTATAAATGCAGTGTCAACTTCATTTTGGTCATTTTTGGGTAATGGAAGAACCCACATGCAAATCAACCTAATTCAGGGGTGATCAACCTGGCGCCTTCCAGGCATTTCTGATGACAGCTCCTTTGTTCCCTGAGCATTGACGGTACTGGATGATATTTAGAGAACTTTTTTGAAGAATGTGAGCAATACTGGTTTGGTTGCCCCTGAGTTAAATGACCTGAGCTCTGTGCTTTAGAGTTCAGTGCCACATGTATACTCAGTCAGAAGAAAGTCCTGCCGAGTTTATTGCCAAGAAAATGTGCTCAGTGGTGTAGCCTTCACTTCATTCAATGTTTACAGCTTTGTAGCCTTCATTCATTTCAGGCTTAAACTGACTTGACCTCTGAATATTTTGTCTTATTTTTTAGAGGCCAGATACTTTGGAGCATTATATCTGATCCACAAATAGTGTAATTTATTGCTGAAAGCTTTACTTTTAATTGTAAAAAAAGGTAGAACGTTCCTAAATAATGATAGCCATAAGATGTAAAGGTAAAGGTTCCCCTTGCCATTTTAGTCCAGTCGTGTCCAACTCTAGGGGGCAGTGCTCATCCCGTTTTCAAGCCATAGAGCCATTGTTTGTCCGAAGACAGTTTTCGTTGTCATGTGGCCAGTGCAACTATACACGGAGCGCCATTTTACCTTCCCACCGAGGTGGTACCTATTTATCTACTCGCATTTGCATGCTTTTGAACTGCTAGGTTTGGCAAGGAACTGGGACAACGTGACGGGAGCTCACTCTGTCGCGTGGATTCGATCTTATGACTGCTGGTCTTCTGACCTGCAGCACAGAGGCTTCTGCGGTTTAACCTGCAGTGCCATCATATCCCTCAGCCATAAGATGTACAAGTAATAGCAAAGTGTATATTGGTTCCATTTTCTAAGCATACCGTTTGTTTCTACTATTTTCTTTTTTACTGAACATGGGATATGTTACTTTTTTCCTAACTTGTGAGAAAAAAAAACAAGGCAATATTTATAAATATTTGTTGTACAAAATGCATCTGCTGGGGAATCCTCATGGGTTGCAAGTCTGTGCATGCATGTAATGGCTGCCTGGTCTCTCTTGCTTGGCCTCTCCAGTAGGTGAGAGTGGTTGAATGACCAGGAAATTATCAGAGTAGGTAGAAATTGTGTTGTGTCGGAACCTAAACTCTGGCATGTCTCTCCTGTGCATGTCAAGATCTGCAAGTCAACCATAAATACTTGCTTAGGGGAGACACATTACAAGTTTGGACATAATTGTTAACCTGTTGCATCCTAGTAAGTTCCTGATTGCTATTACTGTTCCCACTCACGGAAGAACCACACTTCCTTTTTGATGTTCTGATTGAATATAATGCATACATATTTAATCTGGAGCATTGGCAGTTTCATGTTCTTCTTCCTCAGCTTCAATAAAAACACATATAATGATTTTCTAGGAAGAAGCTTTTCATGCGATTTGAGCCCCTGAGACAGTAGGGGTGCCACTGACCTTTTCTTGTCTTGTCTTTGGATCCACAGGAACCTCCTGAGGATGATGCCAACATCATTGAGAAAATCCTGGCATCTCGAATGGTGCAGAAGGAGGTGAGTGTTTTGCTTGTCTTCAGAGCCCTATGCAACCTCTTTATCATACTGCAACAAGTATATAGAGGAGAAGATAAAATACTATAGGTAGTTATAATAATAACATATATTTATATATCATAAGGCAGGGGTAAAGACCCTGCATTTCTCTAGATGTTGTTTGACTCCCATTTCCCATACACCCTACCCAGGATAGCCAGCATCTAATGCTGGGAAATTTAGTCTAGCAATATCTCAAGGGCCCCATGTTCCTTGTCTCTCTTGTAAAGTAAATCTGTACCGAATCCTGTTTCTGCAGCCCCTAGCCCCATTGTATTTCCCTCTCCTACCCCCAAAATGTAAATTGCCACTACTAGAAGCCCTAAGAGCAACAATTCATCTTTTGAATACATTACAGGACTCTTCTGCAGTGTTTAACAAGAGCCCATCAGTTTTTCATAACTGGAAGTGGAGAAGTCACTTCCAATTTCACTCTCTCCTCCCCCCCCCCTTCATTTGTTGCCATTCCCTGTGGTCCTGAAAATTCCATGGTGAAAATATTGGGCCCTAGTCTGCTAAAGCTGCTCATCTCTGATATAAGGATGGAAAAAGAATGTTGTTTAACCATTATGCTTCCTTCTGAAAGATTTGCAATTTTTGTTTGAATAAATTGACTTTTTCTTGGCAAGTACTAATGCTGTGCCCTCAATACTGATGGAGGGCAATTCCAAAATATAACTCATTATCAAAGGTTATGTCCATGTGGGACTGGAGTTGTAGAGTCCACAGCACATCTGTTTCTGAATTACAGATTTCTGAATTAGTTTCACATGGGAGCAAGAGGCAGAATATTGCACCTGATTCTGATACAGAGTCCTGATAGATTCAATGCAGGTCTTGTAAATATACATCTAAATTGGAAGAGCCCCTTTGTTGTAGATACTGTAAATGTTTAAAATATTATAATTTGTATTAGATCCAAGATGTTCAGGGAGATACAGACTACAGTGTATTCTGTTATGTAATGACTGTTTTGGGTTTGTTATTTGTCTCCGTGTGTGTTCTGTATGATTGATAAATCAGTAAAAACTTTAATACAATTTTATTTAGAAAAAAGTTTCTAAAATAGTTAGAATTTTCATTTTTGTTTTGGGATTGACAAATTTTGGATTGACAGATTTTGGTTGGCTTAATAGCCAACTCAAAGGTTGTTTTTTTTTAACTAGGATCTATCTTTTCTGCAAGGGGGCAGGGTATTGTCCTTGAACATGTGCCTGTTCCCAGATGCAGCAGAAGATGATGGGGGGGGGGAATGGCTTCCCTTTTGAGCATTTAGCATTGAGCTAGGAAAGAATAGCAGAAAACAAATCCTACCTTAGCAGCCTAGAGCTGGAGTGGCTTCAGAGAGCCCAGGACAAGTGAGAGCAGTGCAAATCTGTCTCACTACTGCCATCAGAGGCCGTTCAGGTGTCCAAATGATGCTTTGAGCTTTGAAGGCCCAGAGGCAAGATTTTAACTTGGAACTAAGTGCAAAACAGAAGTATGTCAGCTTGTTGAGCCTCTGCATCTCATGGGTATACTGAGCTTGAAACTCCTCGATGGCAAAGAGGGAAGCCCAGAGAGCTGTCTTCCATCTCTGAATTGTGGGAGGTGGAATGCTGATGGGCTTCCTGTCAGGCTCACCTGAGCAAGGAGTGTGAATGAGAATATAGAAGGCTTGTCCCTTTTTCCCTGAGGACCTTGAAACCAGCCACCTTCCTTGAAACCAAATTGGAATGCCTTTCAAGTCTAAGATGACACAGATTCAGGTGAAAGTATAGATAATTTAAAGGGATTATGTACAATTATTTCCTTTGTTCACTAAGGGCTGCCTAGTCTAGGGGTCCCTTAAGTAGTCTTCCCCTGAAATACACAGTAAATCCCTACCCCTGAAACCTGTTTCATCACACTGTCTTGCTACCTGGGTTTATTGAAAGACTTAACTGGGGATAGGAATGTTAAAAGGTTGCCTTCACCTAATAGGCTCCTTGTGTATTCACCTCTGATTGTCTTGTCAGCTGAGCTCCAGCATTGTCCCTGTAACTGTCAGGCAGGAAGGTGCTTGCCAAATCTGTTGTATTCTGTTACATTAGAAAAGAACCCATTTTAGGAGAGATGGCACTGGCCATACAATATAGTCCCTTGCTAGCACTTTAATACTTACTGAACATTTGTTTTTGTTTTAGACTTACCCTGGAGGAGCAACTTACGAGCAGGAGGAGTTCTTTGTAAAATATCGCAATTTGTATGTATAGCACATGTTTCTTCACCCTGTGATACACCTATGCTTTACCTGCCCAGAACACATACATAATTTTATCCCACCCTCATTTGTTTCTCTCTTTAGGGAGCAAGTGCTATTTGCTTGCACCTGTTTTCACTCTTAACTCTATTTTACTTTCTTTGGGAGTCAGGTGGTCTTTATTTGGGTGGATGCCTGCAACCTCATTCTTTGCTTTGCTGTGAACTGTCAAGTTTTGTTTGCCTGCCACTGTACTCTTCTTTCTTTCTGTTTCTGGTTATGTCTTGTAAGACCCTGGTTGTGATGACATCCAGTGTCATTGCTGTCTTATTATTCATTTTTACGTACTAATAATGAGGATCTCTCTTAATCTACAGTTCTTACTTGCATTGTAAATGGGCCACAATGGAGGAGTTGGAAAAAGACCCACGCATTTCCCAGAAGATTAAACGTTTCCGCAATAAGCAGGCTCAGATGAAGCACATTTTCACTGAGGTAAGAGGTGAACCCACCAGTCTGGAATGATACTTGGTTCTGAGAATATTTGACGCGTCACTTTGTGAACACATTAGTGGGCAAGCTTTCTCCTGTGTTAACATGTAAGAGGCGCTGCTGTCTTTGGAATCAGAAATGTGACGGATTGACAAGAAGGAAGGTTCCAGGAATGACCAAAGTTTTATAAGATTTCTTCTTCCACTTTCATCATCGGCTTTGCAGGAACCAAATAATTGGGCCCAGCCCTTATAAGAGAAACTGGACTTAAATAAGGAACATTTTCAGCCATTAAAAATGGCAGTTCGTTTATATTTTTCATTTAACAAGGAGTTAGAGATCACACTGGACCCTCAAATTGAAAACTGCTGCTAATGGAAGCATCCAGGAGGAAGAAGGCAGTTTGGGGCAAATATTTCTCCCTGCTCGCTGTGTATTTACATTCTTAAACTTGAGGGCCATAAACATGCCTATGGAGGATTCATGCGGCCTACAAGCTACCACCCTGGACTTACAGATACACATACATATATTTGAGCTTTGCTAGTACATCAGTCCTACTTAGCATCACATCTGATAATGAATTTAAGTACTAGATTTTGTTCAGGGCTTATTTCCTGCTTTCTCTGGACATGTACCTACTAAGTACAAACTGGGGCAATATTAAATTGAAATTGCTTTCTAAGGATGATTATGAGTCGGAATTTTAAGCATTTTGTCTGATTTATTCATACAACTACTCCTCCGCTGAAGAGACTAAGGTCCTCTCTTCCAGCTTCCTTGCATGAAATCCAGTACTGTTTCTGGGGTCCATAGTTTTTCATGCATTAGCACTTACATATTTTAAATTGATGCTGTCATGCCAAACAGTCACATTTCTGTATTCTTCTTTGTATTGACACCTAAGAAGGAGACAGGTGAAGCATAAGCAAGGATAAATCGCTGCCAACACTCTGGAGCAGAGCAGAGAACTAATGTGTCATCACATACTGTATTCAATTAAAATTCAGCAAAATGTCAACAAAAACTTAAAATTCATTAATTTATTAAATACCATCAGTACCGGTTTTGAGTTACAGTTTGCATTTACTTTATTTGGCAATGTTAGTAATTTTGATTTTTTTAAAAAGTGAATAATTTACAAATTAACTAATTAGTGTTTTGATGTTCACCAATGAATTTCCTTTAATGAGTTTAAGATTTAACTTGGTAATGCTAACACTAACATTTCCATGGTTTAACTTAGAAATGCAGAGTTGCTATGTCACAGTTAGTTGCAAGCTATCAGTTTACAGTGAGGTCTCGACCTATGGAATTAATCCGTATTGTAACGGGGCCCGTAGATCGAAAAGTCTTCAAGTCAAAAATGCATTCATTAATCCGTAACCCGCCCAAGAAACACACACCCCCCACACATAAACAAATTAAAAGTAATTTTTTAAAAAATTACTGTACCTTTTTGAAGTCTTCAGGGGGTCCTCCGCCGCAGCCATCGCCGCTGCCGGAGGACACTCAGGGCTTTGGCATGGCTGCCGGAGGCCTCTCAGAGGTCCCCTGCTGCCGCCAATAGTGCTTCAGAGGCACTATCGGCAGTGGGGGGAGACACATCCAAGAGGCCTCCCATGGTGGCGGGGAAGGCCTCTGGAGGTTCCCGCGCCACTGCCGCTGCTGCTGGGAGCTGAGCCGCGCCGGGCAATCCCGGCCATGCTTAGACTCCTACAGCCTACAGACTGGAAGGGGGAAGAAACACCAGAGAACAAATCTCGCCACTCCCCCCGCCTCCCCCTTCTGGTCCATAGGTCGATTCTCTGGCCGCAAGTTGAAGTTAAAATTTGTGGCTGGAGAAGTCCATAGGTCGAAAAGTACGTAAGTGGAACCGACCGTAAGTCGAGACTCCCTGTATACATAACTTGCAGAGGCTTCAGCATTCTACTAGTGATTCCTTTTTTAATCCCAATGTGAAGTTTTTGCATTAAGGGCAAGGCACAGTAGAGATTTGTTTTCTGTATGATTGCATGTTAACAGATTCCAGGAATCAAGTTAGCCAAAATTTCTTTGGGATTAAGATAGTTGGATGTTCCTTTTCTTACAATTGTGGCTATTAATGGCTAAGGACAAGGAAGAATTATTTAAATTCACATTCTGATAATCTGTCCTCTCTTATTCACATACTCAGAATTTCGCTATTCCATTCTCAGTGCTTACCTCCCCCACCAAATTTTGTTTACAAAACAATGTTTATAAAAATGCATTATATTAGAGAACATTAAATAATTATATTAGGAATTATAAGATGCAAAAGAGTATAAAAACTGTTTGCAAAATATGTAGCAAGCATGCATGTATTTCAGGAAATGCATATTGAAGTAGGTCAGTTTTGTTTTTGTTCTTTTCAGTTACAAACTGATACATAAGTGGAGTAGAACAAACTGTGTACTACAAAAATTAGAAACCAAAAGAAATCAATTACCAGTCTGTTCATCCTTTTTAGTGTCTTTCCATTAAAAATACATAGTATGCACACTGCCTTTCCCAGTTTGCACCTAAAAGTTTATTAAATTTTGTAGAATAATCTGGTCCTATGCTAAAAAACAAAACAAAACCCTGCAAGTCCCTTAAGGGTTCAGTACAAACAGCTTTAAAGCCTAGTTAATTTTCATTTCTTTGTTGCTCTTCTTTTCCTGGTAAAATCAAAAACCTTGAGGACTGTATATGTGGATTTCCTTCCAAATAAGAGAATCTTTCTAATCTTGCTAGGTGCTCCCACCCCCCGGCTTAGTGTGATCTGGTTCTTTGTCGATGTCTGACAGTTCCTTGTTTTTGATGGGAAACGACAAGACAGAGGGTTCTTTAAATACAAACTCTTTATTAACAAAACTTGGTGCTTTCTCAGTGACCACCTCACCAGGGTCAATATGTTCAACACCAACAGAAAAATCTGTCCATAACAACGGCAACGTTTCTTCATATCTGTTTTTCTTTAACGGAAGGCCTGTCCAAATCACTCCTGGTCCGTTGGCTTCCTCAAACAGCCACTCCTCACCGCACATATCGTCCCTCAGCAGGGATGACAAGACCAGTCTCCTTCAGGTGGCTTCTTGTTCGGCCGAACCGCTCCTGGTCAGATCACCTTCTTCCAAGGACCCCGTCCTCGAGGGTACACTAAGACCGTCCATTTTTCTGGTTCTAGTCCTCCTATGATCGGTTTTCCTTCTTCCCCTTTTATCACTGTTTCTTTGCATTCCCCCCCTTTCATAGCCCAATCCTTCCTTCTGTGGTATCTTAAACACTCTTGTTTCTCCTTCTATCTCCTGCCATTCTTCTTCTAACACCACTACCTTTCCTCTGATATTAAGAAAACATCTATCTCCCTTGCTTTTCCTCTCCCCGACTCCTCCCTCTCTTTTCCCGCTTTTAACTCTTTCATCTTTTCTATAGCTTTCACTACCTCTTCCTTTCTTGCCTCTCTATCCTTTTCCTCATCTACAGACGTATGAGGGGACGGCTCTCTCTTCTCTTCTCTTTTATCCACCTGTTCACACTTAGGCAGGGATCAATAGAGAAGCAGTGTAGTAGTGAATTAAGTGTGTGAACCTCGTCTCAAGTACAGTTATGTCCTGCTTTCAAGAGAACTGGATCCTGTCAGCAGTGGGGCAGAACAGTTAAAGCAGACACAGTTCTCATTTAAGGCTCCTTGTGTCTCACATTCTTGTTTCCCATCCAGATGCCAGCGGAACTCCATATCCAAAATAACACCCTTCCTTCATTCTAAATGCATGCGCCTGCACAATTCTGAGAATGTAAAGGCCTGAGGGGAAAAAACCAGACACATTTGGCGAGGGGGTGAAAACGTCTTGTTCTGTTTCTTGCCTTTTCTACTGTTTTTGAGGAATGGACAGGAGGTAGTTGTGGAATTGAGCTGCAACGTGACTTTTCTGGGAAAAGTAGAACTAGAAAATTTTCTGGAAAATTGTCCAGAAAATATATCAGTGCTCTAAATAATGTTATCTAGTTTAGCATGTTTGGTATGCTATTGAAGAGTGTTAGCAACAGAGGACAAACTAAGCATATTGTGCACAGGAAGGAATTGTTGCACCTTATTTTTCAGTTATCTCATGGCAGCTAAGCACTAGGGTTTGTTGATGCTTGCTTTGGAATAATAGCTTATAGAAGTTCATATCCTGTATCTAAGCCATCTAACATGATTGATTGCTGTACAGAAAATTATGGGATAAATACAGACTGATATGGTGTGGAAATGTTTCCATGGAAAGATAAAGCATCAGGAAGATTTTCCACCTCATATGTCTGGAATTGAGGAAAAACAATTCTTTACTGTTTTCCTTGTGTTTTCCTCCTCTTCTCTCTTTCACACATCCATATCTAAGACACAGGCAGAGTCTTTTGAGTTCTTCCATCTACAGCATGGACAATAAAAGGCTTAGGTAGAAATCTCTCTTTATGTTTCTCGGCTGCTCACTCCCTTTTGCCCGTGCCTTGGCTCATAGACTAGAGTCAGCAGCTGAGGCATTGGCAGAGGAGAAAACTGCCAGAGCTTTCATTGCCAAAGCCTTTGTTGTTTGCACCAGAGCCTGATAAAATGTCTTCTGGCTGTGTTTCAGCTTTGATAGCAATTAGGTATTAGATAGAACCAGTGATGCTGGATCTTCAGCCCTTTCCCAATCCAAAGAATATCTCTAACATTTTATTTAAAACGGAATGTGGCTGAACAGAGAAGTAATGCTTTCCTGTTGCCTAATGTTAGAGGTTGTACACCTGCCTGCCTGTGTAATCCTATGTAGGATTACATAGTTGTTGAGCTCTTGGATAATGGCTTCTTGTTGAGCCCAGTCACAGCCTATGATATTTCTTTCTGTTTCTGGTGAGAAAGGTTATATTGTGGTAGTTGCAGCCCCAGCCCCCTAAGTGTCTTGTGGCATTTTAACGATCAGCACATTTTATTTGGCATAAGCTTATGCTTGCTGACTCAGCAAAAGAAGACTGCATGGATTTTGAAGATTGCAACTAAAAAAACCCAAAATATTTTTTTTGCCACTTATAAACAGAGCTGCCTCACCCCAAAATGGTTGCAGTCGAAGGCTTGCGTATAGTTTAGTGCAATAAACAGAATGTATTAAATTGCGTGCTGTTTAGCTATATGGTGTGAAAAACCACAAACATTTGATGAAGTGGGCTATAGTACTCAGAAACATGTGCCAAATAAAACCTGTTAGCATTTAAGATGCCACAAGACTTTTTATATGTTTTGCTGCACCAAATAACACATTCTCTCCCCATCCCAAGCAAATGAGGGGAATTCTCTTTACTGTGTGTGGCATGAAAAGCAATCAACCTTAATCTGGCAAAATGGTCTAGCAAATCTTATGCGAAATGTAACTTGTTAGTTTTTAAGGAGACATTAGACTCAGTCATTATTATATACTGTATCTCTGTTGTTTTTATTTTCTGTTCTTCCAGCCTGATGAAGATCTATTCAACCCAGACTATGTGGAGGTTGATCGGATCTTGGAGGTGGCTCACACAAAGGACTCCGACACTGGAGAGGTACATGTCGTTTCTGGCATGATTTTTATTTGTGATTTATGGATCCCCAATCCCTTCATTTTCACAGTGGATCATACAGTGGAAAACAGAGGGAGTTTTGTTAACAAAGTACCAGAATATGAAGTTTTCCATTCATCCATCTGCAGTTTGACAAGAGCACTAATGTGTGGTAAATGCAGAAATCCATGCAGTTTGTTCTGTTGACTTAGCAAGCCCAGTGCCAGACACAAAAACTGAAAAGCAGTGGTTGTCCGAGAGTGAATCTCTGCTGGAAATATTTAATTTTTTTCCAACTGAAGAGGAAGTTTGTTCCTGAAACTTTGTTCTTGATGCATGTGAGTACTATGAATGAGGCATCTAGACCCGCAGGTGGGTAGATGATGAAATATGGGATGGGTGGTGGTGTTTTTTTAAAGAACTTTGTGTATATAAATCAAATATTTCTGAGTATATAGTTTAACTTAAATTACTTCACGCGGATTAACCTCGCTGTGCGAGGCACCACTGTATATAGTTTAACTTAAATTCCTTCACATAACCAGAAACATTCATATTCATTACAAATGCCATGCCTTGCCTCCATTATTCCTTAGCTGCCAAGACTTAAATAAAGGATGATTCCACAGTGACACTTTCCTTTGAGCATAACTACCTGTGGAAAAGGGTGCCCAGTATGGTGTAATGAACAGAGCAATGGACTGGGACTCAGGAGACCTGGGTTCGATTTCTTGGCTCTGCCAGGGAAACTCACTGGATGTGGGGTGGTGGAACTGGCAAATCCACTCCTTAAATATCTCACCTAACTTGAAAGCCCTATTAGCATCACTATAGGTTAGTCCTGACTTGATGGCACATAACAACACCCAGTGGAAAACTTGATATGTCTTCTGTCCCTGAGTTGGTGTTTGAATTGGTGTTGGGGAAATGCAGTTACAGGTCCATTTTAATCTGGTTATTACTGTGTTTCTCCATTGGAAGAAATGCATTTCAGTTTTAGAGCATGTGCAGCATTGATTCCTTGTCTGAGAAAGGGCCTGGGCAAAATTTACTCTGGTGAACCACTTCCTCCCTCAGTGGGCGTTGAGTGTTTTACATGTCTCCACCCGCAGCTCTCTAAGCAGATGGAAATGGTTGGGTATAGTCATCCTTTTAATTTCCTGCAGTGATCCAGAGTGGTACTAGGGCGGTGACCATGGTAGAAAGCAAAAAAAGAAAGCCAGGGCAGGGAAAAATTAGGAAATGTAGCACATCAGCGAGTGCTCCTGTAAGAATGTAAAGTGACTGGTGACTAGCTGAGGATACCAAATGTACTGATCTGTAGCATGTATTTTTCACATAGAAGGTCCCAGGTTTAAGTCCAGAGTGGTACTAGGGCGGTGACCATGGTAGAAAGCAAAAAAAGAAAGCCAGGGCAGGGAAAAATTAGGAAATGTAGTGCATCAGCGAGTGCTCCTGTAAGAATGTAAAGTGACTGTTGACTAGCTGAGGATACCAAATGTACTGATCTGTAGCATTTATTTTTCACATAGAAGGTCCCAGGCTTAAGCTGACATCTCCAGTTGGGGAGAGCTTCTATATGAAACTAATAAGATGCTTTGCCATTGTAGGTAATACAGAGCTACAGGGCAGCTTTCTATATTTATGTATATATGAATCGAATTGTGTTGGTATAAGGTCCATGCTCCTGCTTTTTCCAGCAGAAAGCCTCCCTGAAAAGCCACATCTTCCATTGCCTCCTGAATGTCTACAGGGAGAGGGCCAGGCAAAGCTGGTTCCACAAGCTTGTGGCCACCTCGAAGAAGCTCTACCTCTAGTAGATTACTGACGGGCCTCTCATGGGGTGGCCATCCGAAGGAGCCTTGCCTGTAATGATCTAGTGGGTTGGGCAGATCACATTGGGGAAAGACAATCTGACAATTAACATAAGCCCAAACCATGGACAGCTTTGTACCTGAGTGTCAAAACCTTGAACCTGATCCGGGACACAATAGATAGCCAATGGAAGCAAGCCAGAACCAGGGTGATACAGTCAAACATGCTCTCACCAACCACCAGTCTGGCCCCGCCGCATTCTAGACCTGTTGTATTCTCCAGATCAGCATCAAGGGAAGCCCCACGTAGATTATGAGTTGTAACTAGGAGCCCTTTTGTTCCTCAGTGTGATCTGAATTTATAAAACAGAAGTTTATGCTTGGAATGTTGTAATAATATGTAACTAACATGTTAGGTTCCCCACAGTCATGGTGCAATCTAGGGTCTTACATCATTTAGTAAAGTCTGATTTGAATGTTTTCTTCTCCCTCTCTTTCACATTAAGACTCTAACCAAGACGTCAGTCTTTCCTTCCCCCTTCTTTTTGCAAGGAGAAATTTGGAGATCTTGCAATTGCGTGTGTGTGTGTTGTTTTTTTAAAATCGGTCTAGTATTTTTTATTATTAGGGCTGTGCACTAGCACTAGAATTGGGATATGGAATTCACATTCAGAATTACAGTGCTTTGGATACAGGATTCAGAATTTTAGAAATACAGGATTTCCAGAAATCCAGAACTCAGTTGCAGTCAATATGAATGCTATATAGTCATTATTTCCCCATTTAAAAAATACCAGCTTGCTAGGGGGCTTCAGGGAAGCCCAGCAATGATAGGTTGGCCTTAAGGTAATTACATTTTTCTACAGATTCAGGTTCCAGATGTGAGAATTGTGAACTGACAATGTCTCCTTCTTGAGAGAACACTCTCTGACTGGGCACACACTAATTTAGTAGGCAAAACTGCAATCCCACTGCCACCTGGACCAGATTTCCCCAGACAGATTCTTTCTCAGCCCAGTAAGACAAGGGATTGGTCTCTTTTGTCTTGCAGGGCTCCTGCATGTATGCCTCTACCTTTGCCTCTGCCTCTGTCATGTCCTTCCTCTGGCGGTTTGCCTTTGAACAACAAGTTCCTGCCATGCTCATCAAGACAGTGCCCCAGAAAGCTTGCCCTGTTGTTGCAGGTGTGGTGGACTTGCACCGTAGAATACAACTGCTGATACTGCTGTGGGGGGTGCTATGAGCATTCCTAATTTCTTCCTGCCAGAATGTCTCTCCCCGCCCCTTTCTCAAGAAATCACCCCAGGATGCCTGAAAAACAGATATCACATTTGCTTCTTCCTCTAGCAAGCAGAAACCTAGCCTTTTGCTTTCTTAACTATAGTAAGTGGGATTCCAAATATTAGGAATTATTGTTACACAATGTTGGAATTATCAGGTTAGGATTAGGATATATTCAGAACTATCTGAATATGACATTATTCAGTGAATTCCATTTTTTTCCGAATCCAAGAATGAATCCCTAATTATTGTTAACATACAGTAAATACTACTATTTACAAACACTAGTGTCAATCACTTGTTACATTTGTGTTCCTCTTTCTTTGTTAGAGAATAATAATCAAGATGGCTAACAACAAAAAGAGCCAAGATAATATAGGAAATTATACTTCAGCCAAAATTAAACTAGCAAACAGAGGTGGGCAAATTCAAGAACCACCCAAACCTATTGGGACCTTGGAGTGCCACACCTGCTTCTGTGTTGCTTCTGCAATCTGATTCTGCAATCTTGATTGTTAGAAGCAGTTTTGAAATGACCCTAATCCTCTCTATGGCCCAAAACAGTTTTGAACTTCATAACATGGAATGTTGGGAGCCTCTAGTCAGGTGCAGGGCTTCATTGGACCCCTTGGGTCCTTTGCTGTCTGTGCCTGCATTTTGCCCACCCACCATAAAAGCATATCAATAAAAATGGATCAGTAGTCTTCATTATCACACTCTTAATTAAAACCTGCATCAGCAAAGTCAATGTAAAAGTCAAGAGGCCATCTCATTAAGTACATTTTCTTGTCCATGGAAGGCCAACAAAAACAGTTGTAAAGCATGAAAAAAGCCACTGGAAAAAATGTATCTTCTATTTCCTCCAATGTACCTATGATGGTGGGTAAGACAAAGAGAAAGCCCTCTGCTAATGACCTTCAAACCAGAGTAGGTTTATGGGGAAATGCCATCATTCAGGGAACCCAGTCTCAAGTTGTATAAAGTTCTACAGGTTATAATTGGCTCCTTGAGGTATGCCTAGAAACAGATCGGTTTTCTTTATATCTGTTGTATTCTGAGTATGCATACTTGCTAGACAAGATAAAAAAACAACATGCTGGATAAAACCAACATCCCCAAGCATTTTTTTTTGCAAGAATCTTAACAGTATACAGCTTAGTAGATCAAATGACTATGAGCTATCCTCTGCTGATCTTCTGTGAATCGTATTTATAGAATTGGAAGAAACTTCAAGGGTTTTCTAGCCCAGCTCCGTGCTATTGTGGGAAATCCATGGAAATCCACAGCTAGAGCATCCCTGACAGATGGCTATCCAGCTTCTGTTTGAAGATCTCTAAAGCAGAGACTCCACCATCTTCCAAGTAGGCAGTTGCACTGTCAAACAGCTCTTACTGTCAGGAAAGTCTTGTAATAATATGCAAAATCTTGAGTAATGATGTATGTCTGTGTTTTATTCCAAGATGCCTAAGCTTCAGAAATATAATTTTAATAGCTGTCTATGATGTAACATTAGACATCATTAAACCACCACTTCTAGTTCCTGTTACAACCTGTTACCTCAGACAGTTGTCTTCCCTTATCCATGCAACAGATTTTTATGTGCTTCAGCTTGCTGAAGGCTCTAGGAGCCTGGGTTTACCGTGTTTTGTGTGTGTACAGAGCAAGTTTCTCTAAGGAGTTTCATCACTTGTTCTTTGTGACCTCTCACTTTTTCCCCTTAAATGCAGGAAGTCACCCACTACCTGGTGAAATGGTGCTCATTGCCTTATGAGGAAAGCACTTGGGAACTAGAGGAAGATGTTGACCCTGGGAAGATCAGAGAATTTGAATCTCTGCAAATCCCACCAGAAATCAAATCCTTGGTAAGCAAAGCTTCAGAAGGGAGAATGAGAGAAGTTACTTTGAGTCAACTGACCACTCACTTAGGATTATACTGTCATTGCTTACTGAGTGCTCAAGTTGCTCATCCATTTTACTTCTCTGTTTATTTTTTTAGAAAATTGTGTTTGCAGAAACATGTGCTGCTCTTCCTGTCTGAGTCTTGCCCTGCAGCAGCAGCCGTTGAACTCTAAATCATTCACTGTCTCCTGTTACAGTGGTGCCTCGCTTAACAATTTTAATTGGTTCCAAAAAATCATCGCTATGGGAAAACATTGCTAAGCAAAACGCAGTTTCCCATTGAAATGCATTGAAAACCGGATAATCCGTTCCAATGGCAACAGATTGCCATCCTTAAGCGAAAATCGCCATAGGAAACATCGCTAAGCGAAACATGGTTCCCCAATTGAAATGCATTGAAACCTATTCAATGCATCTCAATGGGGGAAAAAATTACAACAAATTTAAAAAGAGTCGGAACAAAGTCAAATTAGTTTAACAAAGGGTTTATTAAGTGCACTTATGTTTTCAAGCATTCTAAACATTTTAAAACATTTTAAACATATAAAAAACAGCCAACATAAGGCTGTCAAAACCATCGTTAAGCGAAACAGGGGGGCCCAAACTGTCATCGGTATGCGAAGCATGGTCCCAAACATCGCTATGCGAAAATTGCCCATAGGGAACATCGTCAGACGGAGTGCAAGATCGCTCCGAAAAAGTCATCGCTAAGTGAATTTGTCGTTAAAAGAAGCGCTCGTTAAGCGAGGCACCACTGTACTTAGTTTTCCTCTTCCACTCTCATCCAGATACATACATATATAAACTACATATAACAGGGGAATGAAAATTTGTTCAGTTCTGTTCAATTTATTGCACAATAGCCAATTAGATCTTTTTCTTAAATACTAAAAAAAGTAACAGAGGGTAGGATATAGAAAATAGCAACAGCACAAGCAAGATAAAATATTATAATACAGAATTAATAACATAGATATTAGCTAATAGTTCTAAAAGCATATATTGTCTCCAAGGGTGCAGTTACATATTTCCTCTTCTCTAATGGTGATTTGACATATTTGACAACTTCATTCAATGTAGTATAATAATCAGTGCCTGCCAGCAATGTGAACATTTTCTTTAAAGGGGAGTTATCTTTAATAGTGATAATCAAGGGGTTCTATGGAATGTGAAGATGCCAGATGCTACTGGTTAGAACCTATAACAGTTTTTAACATTTAGTTGACTAAAAAGAATGTAGTCTTTTCCACTCTTATCGTTTCTATTTTATCCCCAGGAACGTCCTGCTTCTGAGTCCTGGCAAAAGCTAGGAAAATCACGGGACTATAAGAATAACAACCAGCTGCGAGAATATCAGCTGGAAGGAATGAACTGGCTGCTCTTTAACTGGTACAACAGGTGAGTTGCAGATACAACAGGTGAGTTGCAGGTGAGTTGGGGCACCTTCAGTAGATGTGAGAAGTAACATAAAGTACTATTCCTTGGGCATAGTTCCAGATTCCAGATATGAGCAAGGGTTTGGGGATGCAATTGGCTTGCTTACCTATTTACTACAAATAACTGATTCATATATCCTTATAATGGTTTTAGAGATATACACACCAGTTATCCTGGTAATAAGAGGGGCTCTTGCACTTTATGTAAATGACAAATTGCTACTCTTGGAGATTTAAAGTAATGGCAATTCACAATTTTTAGTGTGGATAGTTTGGCTTTCTGATGGGACTGGGGGCTGGATTGAGATTGAAGATTGGATTATTCATCCCCTGTGCTCTACTTTACCTCTGTGTACTGTAACCCATGTTAGTAACGTGGAGACAGAGAAACAGTGTAACTGTTGGAAATGTGGAACTTGGGAACTTAAAACTGATAATTGTCTGAAATCCTGTTGCTTAGTGTAAGGAATTTTGTAACTTTTAATCTGCTCCTAACTGGCAAATAACATGTTTCCAGGGGTGTGCATGCACACTGCATGTCTGTGCAGCCTCAAGAATCTTGGAACTTTTTAGTTACCAGTTTGGAAAGGACTGAAAATTAGGAATGTTCTTATGCTAAGCAACAGGATTTCAGCTGCTATGTGTACCTACTGCTATTGTATGTCCCTATGGCTCTTCCTGTCTACATTTCCTGATGTCTGGCATTTGCTGTGTGGGACATGGAAGTGAACCCTAGCAAAAGAGAAGGCTGTCACAAAGTGGAAAAGAGGTGCCTAGCAAAACTTGTCTAGAAATATAATTGTGCCAAATTTTAAAAGTAAACACAGTCTGCAGGATTATGATGAAATTGCTCATTTTAGTCAGTAGTGAGCTTCCCAAGGTTGTGATACCTGCTCATGGTATTTCTACAGGAAGAACTGCATTCTGGCGGATGAAATGGGTTTGGGGAAGACAATTCAATCCATTACATTCCTGTCTGAGATTTACCTGATGGGTCTTCGGGGTCCCTTCCTCATAATTGCCCCACTGTCCACTATCACTAACTGGGAGAGAGAGTTCCGTACATGGACAGAGATAAATGCCATTGTCTATCATGGCAGTCAGATAAGCCGCCAGATGATCCAACAGTATGAAATGGTGTACCGGGATGCACAGGTTTGTGGTACTATTTTCAGCATTTGCTGCTGCTTATTTACTTCCAGTAGCAGTGTAGCCTTTGGGTGTAGCCTGGCTTCAGTGCTTTAGGATAGCAGGTGGAGGGTCATTTGCCATGAAAGATTTTGTTGGTTTGGGGAATCTAATCTGAAAATCCATTTTACATATAACCAAACATGCTTGAGTTTGTGTGTAAATGCTGTAGCAATTCAGTAGGAATCCATAATTGAGACCCCGGAGCTAAAACTGTTCTTGTTATCAGAATGAAACAAACTGTTCTTCATGGTCTCTGTGAATGCGCGCAAATGGGTTACTCTGCGCCTGCACAGAGGCTCTCAGTTAGAAAACAGAGAATGAAGATTCCCATCCAGGAAGCCTTTGAGGAGAACTCAGTTGATACAGGTTCCTTAGTCATAGCAGTTGTTTCTAGCAATAGGTGTCCTTTCTGTCTTACCCAGTGGGTTCCCTTTTTCATTGTGGATCTGCTCAGTGGCTTCTGCGTGGAGAGTGCAATTATGGCAAGTGCATGCAACTGGCCAGATCAAATAGGGAATTTGTACTCATGCCTAGGTATTAGTACTGTAATACTGTACATGACTACTGAAGTGAGAAATGCAGCTTCATTTTGGTAGAGTTTGAGAAAGATGCTTTTAGGCTTTAAGTTCCTTGTTAAAGCACTCAAATCAGCCACAAAAGATAGATTTGAAGTAATTAGGCCTATCTGCTGCCAAAGGAATAAATTTTCACTTTTTATTTTGCCATCCTCAGGGCAACCCTCTTCCAGGGCTCTTCAAGTTCCATGTAGTTATCACCACCTTTGAGATGATCTTGGCTGACTGCCCAGAGCTGAAGAAGATCCAGTGGCGCTGTGTGGTCATTGATGAGGCTCATCGGCTCAAGAATAGGAACTGCAAATTACTGGAAGGACTGAAGCTCATGTCTCTGGTGAGGATTTAGTGTTGTTCTGTGTCTTATAGGAATCTCATCATGCAGTGTGAGGAATGCATGAAGGAAGCTGACTGGTATGTGTGTGCATGAGCGTGTGAGACTACTCCTGTTTTTATTGCTGGGTGTATTGGCTGTAGCTTATATCCAATAAATTGCTCTGCTGCAAGCATGTGTTTGGAGTGTGCCAGAAGGAAGATTCTTTCAAGCTTCGTGCTCAGCTATATTCTAAGATCCCAGTTTGCTTACTAGAGGCAAAGACTTGCATCACTTTTTTCTGTGCTGTTGGTTAGTTTTGGGGAAACCGTGGTGTCTTGACGACACCAGCAATCAGATGTTGTGGTCTCTAGGTGCCTTTTTGCAGTGAACAGCTTGAAACAGTGGAAGATTTCCTGTAGGATTATGGCTTTGAGCCATCTAGCTTGGCCAGGTTATGTTTGCATGTTCCTCAGATGACAGTGGCTGAGCAGGTGAGGGGCTCTAAAGGCAAGAGAACAGCACATCAGAAGTTCTCTTCCAACAAACCAGTATAAGCCTAGTTTTTCAGCACATTTTTTTTTGCTGAAAAAGCACCCCCCGGCTTATACTCAAGTCAGTGTCAAAATTACATGTTCTTCCCTGCAGTGCGGGTGTTGTCCGGACTCCCCCACTCATCTGCGGGCGCCTGCAGCCTCTGTGGGTGGTCCGATGATCTGGGTTAAGTACACTGCATTTCCGCTTCCAGGACCCTCCCATCCTCCTCCTTTTGCATATTCTATGTACCCACCTTCCTCCTCCATCTCTGCTTATACTGCTGCATTTGCCACCCTCAGCTTATACTCGAGTCAGTAAGTTTTCCCAGTTTTTGTGGTAAAATTGGGTGCTTCGGCTTATATTCGGGTTGGCTTATACGCGAGTATATGTGGTAGTCTGACTGACAGAGTGACCTGTAGCCTTTGGTCCAGAAGCAAAACAGTGCAGGGGCATAATGTACGCGTAGCACCCAGTTCACCCTGGTGTCTCCACAAATGCTCTGATTTGATCTTTCCTTACATCATGAATAGGAACACAAAGTGTTGTTGACTGGTACACCCCTGCAGAACTCAGTGGAGGAGCTTTTCAGTCTTCTGAACTTCTTGGAGCCACAGCAGTTCCCATCTGAGACAGCGTTCCTAGAGGAGTTTGGGGACCTCAAAACAGAGGAGCAGGTAAATAGGAAGGATTGCAGTACTGAGCCGTGGCTAATATGTTGAGGAGGAGTTTAATTCAGCGCAAGAAAATATTTAAGACTGCATATGAGGTGGAGGTGATAATTGCTGAGGAACAGACTTGAGAATATATCCTGAATCAAGACCTTGGAAGCAGCAGAACCACGAGAAATTGCTTGTAAGCAGAATGAGTGTTACAATATCTTGAAACCATGCCGGGTACCAGAGCATCATCCTGCCACTGCTCATTTAGAGATAGGGGCATTATGTTGTGATACTCATTTTATTGAGAAACATTAAGTAAGCAAAAGGGTATGAAGTTAAATATCTGGGGAATTACAGAGTTGTCCATTTTGTGGTGAGATTTCCTCCCTCCCCAGTGAATCCACCCCATGAAAGTACATAAAAAGCTTTGTCATCCCCAGATATTCTTGGACTACAACTCCCAGAAATCCTAGACCATCTGGTGAACCAAGGTTAGGAACCATTGATCTTAACACATACATAAATGGACTCGCCTCTTCAGTATGTCCTCACCTACAAATATTGTACACTTCATCTACATGGATCTGTTAATAGGATGTGATTTACATTGGTGCAGCAAATGTCCACATTCAATTACATTTAAAACAATTTGTTGCTTACTTGCAAATGAACACTAAATATTATCTCTTTTTTTTCTCAGAAGTACTAACTTAAAAAAAATCAGCATGCAATCTTTTAGGCCTATGTACGCCACCTGTCTTCCCACAGGTACCACCATATATTAGTGGCATTTCCATGCTCTCCTGATTAAGATTCGCAGAAGGAGAATGGGTAATAAGATGGATGTGACCTAATGTGGTTCTTTAAATGCATACATCTTGAGTTCTGAGCAAAAATTTATTTCAACAATATGCTGAGCCTGGCATCATTTGTTTCTGCGTGACCTCCCAAAGTCAATGTATGAGCTGAGATCATTCATCTCAGACACTCTGTAATAATAGGTGTTTTCCCCCTTTTTCTTCTGGCAGGTAAAGAAGCTTCAGTCCCTCCTGAAACCCATGATGCTGCGACGGCTGAAGGATGATGTGGAGAAAAATCTAGCACCCAAACAGGAGACCATAATTGAGGTAGAGCTGACCAACATCCAGAAGAAATACTATCGGGCAATCCTGGAGAAGAATTTCAGCTTCCTGTCCAAGGGTGCTAACCAGCACAACATGCCCAACCTCATCAACACCATGATGGAACTGCGCAAATGCTGCAACCACCCCTACCTCATCAATGGTAAGGGGTGGATCTGGAAGCATATTTGGCCCTTTGGGGGAGAAGTGACAGCATTGCAGTTTCTCCTTTACCCATCAGTAATTGAAGTGTGTATGTCTACTTAGTGCAAATGTCCCACATGGCCTTCTTTTCAGTAAATGACTTGGGTGTTCATTGCAATGATGCTGTCATGGCTGTCCCCCTCTTTTTGGCCTTAACACAAGCTGGGTTATGAGAGAAGGAGTGCAGTGTATAGTTAGAGTACTTTGAATGCCCCTAGTGAAAAATTTCCCCCCTCTTTCTGGACCAGGGGCAGAGGAGAAAATTCTGGAGGATTTCCGTAAAACACACAGCCCAGATGCTCTTGACTTCCAGCTCCAGGCAATGATCCAGGCAGCAGGCAAGCTGGTGTTGATAGATAAGCTGTTGCCGAAGCTGATTGCGGGTGGACATAAGGTGCTGATCTTCTCCCAGATGGTGCGCTGTCTTGATATCCTGGAGGATTATCTCATCCAGAGGCGGTCAGTACAGCCCAGGAGTTCGTACTACAAAAAGCATCACTTCAGTATCTTCCCACAGCATGCTGAGCTGATAGGTTGCATTGTCCTTTTGTTGTACATGTGTGGATAGATTTTACCTCTTACCCACATTCTTTTCTTCCTTCCTTTGTTGCCTCTCTGTCACTCCAGGCTTCTTCTTGTATGTATACTATTTCTCCCCTTTTCCTTTTCACCCTCAGAGGGAAGAATTGAAGGAATGTATTGTGAAAGCAAATGCAAAATCCCAGTCTTGACAGCTCTTGATTTTCACTTCACTTGTGTTCAGATTACATTGTAAGAGAGGGCAAGGAGCAATGCTTGGTAGAAGAACAGGTCTTGCATACAAGAGTTCCCAGGTTCATTTTCTGTTCACTCCCAGTTAAAATGAATGAACTAATAAGAAAGGTATAATACCCTGAAGAGCTATGGTAAACAGTACTGGACTAGATGCACAAATTGTCTTGACAGCTATAAAGTGCAGCTCTTTCTAATTAAGAAGGCCCCTAATAGTTCCCATTTCATTTTACGATGGGGGACTTTGGTGGATCTGGGGGCCTCACTGGAAGCTGCAGTAGGCCACACAGAAACAAATGTGTACGCACAGACACTCACATTCTCTGCTGCCATGCCGAACTGGAATCTAGCAGCGGATGGTAACTACATCTTTTTGGTTAAAAGAAGGCACACACATATCTTATTTTAAAAGACGTTGTACTTCCTGAAAGCTGCCCAGAGTAAAACTGTCCTTTGAAATGAGATGTGCACCCTGTCCATGTTTGTTTTAAGTAAAGACTGTGATTTAAGACTTAAGGCAGCTATGTTTCAGTGTTGTTGTTGGAGGGAAGTTTACACAAATGGGGGTATGTGTGCACGTAGCCTGTGGACTGCATGTTGCCTACCCCTGATCTAGAACAACAAAGAGTAGAGTGAATTTTGGTAAATTTACTTGCCCCAGTTATTATGGATAATCTTTCATAGGCTAGAGTTCACTGTGGTCAACTGGTCTCTCCTCCATGAAAGTTTATGTCATGTGTTTATTTATTTTTAAGACTCTTATTGTTTTTGCTGTCACAATCATGAGCTTGTCACCAGACCATGCTGATACATGCATTTGCTTCTTTATTGTGAGTATAGATGGCCTCAGCAGAGTTTTTCCCCCCAGTTTGTTAATTTTTCTGTCAGCCACACTTCCCTTCTATGTGGATCAAGCTCTGATACTTTTAGAATGCCTTGGAGAATCACAGTCCCTGGCTAGTGCTGCTGTTACTGCCTACTACAGAGTGGACAGCCTGCAGCCTTGCAGGTATTTTTGGATTGCAGCAACCCTAACTACAGCCAGAGTACCCTACTTGAGCCTGAAACTGGTGAACACTGCTAGAAGTAGCATAAGAAGTTTACAACTGTGAAAATCCTTAGTGTTATATTGCCTGAAAACGTACAAGTACAGTGGTGCCCTGCATGACGATGATAATCCGTTCCATAGAAATCGCTGTTTAGCGAAATCATTGTCATGCGAAAACTCTTTTCCCATTGGAATGCATTGAAACCCATTTAATGCGTTCCAGTGGGGAAAATACATCGTCGTCCTGCGAAGATGGCCCATAGGGAAGCCATTTTGCGAGCGCCAATCAGCTGTTAAAATGGCTGTTCCGCGAACCATGGGTCCAGAAAACACCTGTTTTCTGAAGCACCGATCAGTGTAAAAATTGTCGTCTTGCGAGAAATGGTTTGCGAAGCACGGACCCAAACATCGTCCAGCGAAAATCGCCCATTGGAATCACTGTTTTCCGAATCACTATCGTCATGCGGATTCGTCGTTTTACAAGGTCATTGTCTAGTGAGGTACCACTGTATTTCGGAAGTTACGTGAGACCTGTGCCCAAGAATTGGTGGAATTGAAAGTATATTGTCAACTCTTTGTAGTAGTAATCTGGCTGCAGGACTTCTTTAGAATATTGATAATATTTTTAAAGATTCTCACTTTGAGAGATAAACACACTGTATCTTGTGGAGCAACTGGAATTACTACCGTGTTTCCTCCCAAATAAGACAGAGTCTTATTTTATTTTTGGTCCCAAAAAGGCATTAGGGCTTATTTTCAGGGGATGTTTTATTTTACAGTCATGTCATCATCTGGTTGCTGCACAATGCTGCACAGTGGTGGAGGGTGGGGTTTCACTTAACTGGGGCTTATTCTGGGGGTAGGGCTTATATTACGAGCATCTTAGGGCTTATTTTCAGGTTAGGTCTTATTTTTGGGAAAACGGTAGTTTACTCATCAGATCTTCTGTTCTTGTGCTGAATCATTAATTCTCTTGGAATCACTTGATGGCAAGATTGTCAATTCTACAGTTGCAGAACTATGCAAAATCCTGAAGAAAAATGGCTTTGGTTGAGCCTTAATAGTGGGGAGGGCTTTTTAAAAAAGAGCTGAAAACATTTGAATTCAATTGCAGTATTCTTACGCTTTATCTAAATTGTCTTCAAGTTTGACAGTTCAATACCTAACTGTTGTTGCTGTTATGTACCATCAAGTCACCTCTGACTTAAGGCAACCTAAGAATGAATTATCTCCAGAATGGCCTGTCCTTAAAAGCCCTACTCAGCTCTTACAAACACAAGTTAATGGTTATTGTGGGTTTTTCGGGCTCTTTGGTGTGTTCTGAAGGTTGTTCTTCCTAACGTTTTGCCAGTCTCTGTGGCCGGCATCTTGAGAGGAAGGGAGTCAGAACTCTGTCTGTGCTCTGGTGTAGTTTGTTTGGATAGTGGGGATTAACTTGACTGACACTAGCTTTGCTGACCTCTTAAGAGTATTGGAAGGAAGAAGGTAGTCTTCATTTTACCGATGGCATTTGCTAATGTCAGGGCACGTTTCGGTCCTGTGTATGTGTCTGAAATACAGTCAGCCAGTCAATGTATCACTTTTTAATAGCCTTAAAGCATTCCAAACACTTTATCTCAGTATTTCTTGCAACAATCCGATGATGTAGGTAACTGAGATATTGGACATAATAGACCGAGGTTACAAAATATGGGTATGCCTAAAGCCTCCTAATGAATTAATAGCTGGGCTGAGATTTGAAATGAATGGTTATTTCTTTGCTAGTACACTTAAATTAGACTAAATTATCTGCATCAATTTAGTGTTACCATCCCAGGCATGCCAATATATTACTACCTTGGCTACAGCTGAAAGCAGAAAATCCTTGTACTGCTCTTTCTTTTGGCATAATTCCTAAAATAACCCATGTCTCCCTGCCTACACAGATACACCTATGAGCGTATTGATGGCCGAGTGCGTGGAAATTTACGTCAGGCTGCCATTGACCGCTTTTGCAAGCCAGATTCAGATCGCTTTGTCTTCTTGCTTTGTACACGGGCAGGGGGACTGGGCATCAATCTCACTGCTGCTGACACTTGCATCATCTTTGACTCAGACTGGAATCCACAGAATGATTTGCAGGTAATGTGAAGAGCCTTTGGATAGGAACAAATGGCTTGAAGGGCTGACTGATGCACAGCTTTAATGCTTTGTGTGGGAATCCAGGTTATGTAAAGCTGCCTGAAAAATCTGCCTCAGGTTGCTCAGAAGAACAGGTGGAGAAATTGTTTTGACTTCTCGAACACTTGAATCTTTTGAAGCACAAGTTTGTTCCTTCCCTTTTCTGGATCAGTTCGTTGTTGTTTTTTATGGTAAAAGATTTGTACAGAAATGTATATGAATAAGCTTTTCTGTACATGAATTTTGTACAACTTTCTGACAATATGTACATTTTAATGTATTTTTCCTAACACCCACATTTTTCCTAATGCGTACATAGAGATAGGTACAAAAATGCATATGACATTAATAATCAATGTCTTGATATTGTATATGTGTGTATATGCACTTCTCCTGGTATTTTTAATACAATTTGTATTGGCAAATATAATTTATACATCTGAGAATTGCATTGCAAAATTTGGAGAAGTTCAGAAGCCAAAGAAAAATTATATTCATATTAATATGGAATGTACAGATTAGATCAGTTTGTGTTTAAATGCAAACTCATTTATCATCTAACTTTATTTAGAAGGCAGTGGTGCTTGATGGGGCATCTACCACAAGCACATATCTGTTTTCTGCCATATCTACTCCAGCATATGAACTTTGTGTTTTTAGAAAGCGTTTCATAAAGTTATTTTAAAAAGTAGAAGTCAACCATATAACACTTGTTTTTTTAAATATTTTCTTTGAGTAGAGTCCTTTTGTGTTGGTATCTTTTGAACTGGGTGTCTTAGTTTGGCAGCCAATACTTCATTGGTGTAAATGTTTTTGTTTTTGCTATGGGGAAACAATTTCTTTAGAGAGGCTCAGTTTCATCTCCTTGTCCTGTCCCATTTTCTGTTTCGAGTAAGGTAACTGTTTTGAATAATGACTTTCTCCTGTAGGCTCAGGCTCGCTGCCATCGGATAGGGCAAAGTAAAGCAGTGAAGGTGTATCGTCTCATCACTAGGAATTCATACGAGCGGGAGATGTTTGACAAGGCCAGTTTGAAGTTAGGTCTAGACAAAGCAGTGCTGCAGGATATCAACCGCAAGGGAAGCACCAATGGGGTAAGCAGGCCTTGTAAAGTCAGGACCTTGAATTCTGTACTAGTCTTCACTCCACTTCCAATCTGTACACCTCCATGGCAAACCCATTTTTAGACGTTTTTAGAGTTCTTGCTTTTTCTTTCTGTGCTTCAAGCTCAGGGTCTGTCTTTCTGTCTGTGTGTCTCTGGAAGGTACAGCAGCTCTCAAAGATGGAAGTTGAGGATTTGCTACGAAAAGGAGCTTATGGGGCACTGATGGATGAGGAAGATGAAGGCTCCAAGTTCTGTGAGGAGGATATTGACCAAATTCTGCAGCGTAGAACCCAGACTATCACTATCCAGACTGAAGGGAAAGGCTCCACATTCTCCAAGGTTGGTGAGCTCTTGAAAGGATGACTGCTTTAATGAAATGAATATTTCAAAATGGTTTATTCCAAGCAAACCATGGTTAAAGTTAATCACAATTTGTTTATCTGTTTGTTTGTCTGGACATTATGGCAGGCTGTAAATCAGCAAATCTTCCAGACTCTTCCTCATATCTGAAGCAGAGGCAGAGAATGAAGGGGATAGTGCAGTCCTGTAGTTTGCATAGATTCATTCTTGTCCTATGAAGCATTTGTCTAAACAAGGCCATGATGTTTTCTGTATAAATAATCACAACTTGGTCTTGGATATCAACCAGAATAGTTAAAGATAGTACTTGGTATGTATAATTATCCAAACAAACTCCATTTTCAGTTCTTCTTAGTGTACTTGGAGATTCACTTTGGTGTGTTGCTATCTTAAAGTATAAAGTAAAGTGGTAATTTGCTCTTGAAAGCAATAAACTGGTTGCAAAGTATGCTGTTTGTTTATTTATTTTAAAGAAATCTTTGCCCAACTTTTCTCCTTTAAAGATTGAATTCTACACTTGACGATGATAATGCGTTTCAGCAAAATTGCTGTACAGCGAAATCGTCATCAAGTGGAAAAAAACCCCATTGGAATGCACTGAAAACTGGTCACTGCGTTCCAATGGGGGAAGTACCTGATCGTCCTGCGAAGATCCTCCATAGGGTGGCCATTTTCCAATGCCTGTAAAGCGAAAATAGGTCAGCAAAACAGCAGGGAGCCATTTTGCGAGCCACCAATCATATGTTTTTAGATCATCGTTAAGCGAAAAATCAGTTCCTGAAGCAGGGAACTGATCGTTGTGAAGTGAAAAACCCCCATTGAATCATTGTTTTGTGATCGCTATAGCGATCACAAAAAACTCGTTAAGCGATTTTCTCATCAAGCGGGGTAATCGTCAAGCGGTGCACCACTATATAAGGAATGATGGCCTCTAGATGTTGTTCTGCAACAACCTTACCAGCCACAGCCACTATGGGAAATAGTCAGCTCAGCGAAATAAAAATTAAATTGAAGCAGACAAGGCTTCTTACCTGTATTTTTTAACTGTATCAGGAAATTCTCTGGCTGTACTCTGGTTTTGCTTCTGTCAGAGGAAATCTGGCATTGTAGCTGTACCTAGAGATGCACAGCTACTTGGTTCTGTTTCATTGTAGGTTGAAGTCGATTAACTTTTGTTTCATTCCTAGGCCAGCTTTGTTGCCTCTGGAAACAGAACTGACATTTCCTTAGATGATCCTAACTTCTGGCAGAAATGGGCAAAAATAGCAGAGCTGGATACAGATGCAAAGAATGAAAAGGTGATACAATGTTACTGTTCTGGAAAAACAAGCAGTGCACTGAGAGACATGCAGACTCACACACCTGTTTGCAGTAAGCTTAATTTGCTTCTGTGTTAGATTTAAGAGTTATATTGAAGCTTAGGAGAACTGCTGGTGGAATTTGGAGTGAAGTAGGTGAATGGAGATCATTCTGCGCTTTGTCATTCTATTCCTGAAGCAGCTTCTTGGGAACCATGCTGACGACATAGGTTCATGCTCAAGATCTCATCCCGGAGGTTGGCCTGTGGGATAGTATTATTGACAGTAAAGCTGTTTATAGGTAGCTCAACCCTGAGGTGAGAATACCATATTCTAATACTGTTTTTAAACTGGTAGTTTTGACTAGCCAAACTTGCAGCAGTATGTCTGAATTGCAACTGTATGTTAAGAGAGCACTGGTAGTTTTGACTAGCCAAACTTGCAGTATGTCTGAATTGCAGTTGTATGTTAAGAGAGACATTGCAAGTTTGGGCCTGCCTTTTAACATGTTATATCGGGCTCCACTCTAAAGTATTTATTTTATTGTACTGGTATCTCTTTATTGTACTGGTATCTGCAAGTTTGGGCCTGCCTTTTAACATGTTATATCGGGCTCTACTCTAAAGTATTTATTTTATTGTACTGATATCTCAATCTTAAGGGGGAACCTTTACCTTTACCTTATCTCAATCTTAAATGGGGATTGCACTGATTTCCCATCTTACAAACCAACTTAGACCACACTGGTTTAGCCTCAGGAGTGCCACAACACCAAATGCTTCCAGTCACTTATGATTTTAATTCAGCTTTCTTGTTTCTTTTAATGTGAGGAACTGTTTAAAAATGGATCTATGTTTGCTTGTATCCTCCTTGCTTCCCAGATACTGTATATGTGAATATATTAGCTACAGTATATGCATCAATTTAGGCTCAGAAGATTGCACTTCTTAACAGCATGCCAGGGATGGGCACAAATGAAACCACAAAGCAGAAAAACCGATGAACTGGGCTTGTTTATGGTTCAGTTTGGGGATCCCATTTTGCCGAAATGAAACAAAGTGCTGAAATGTTTTCCCCTTGGACTTTGTTTTGTTCAGCAAAACTGGCCCCATTGCCTCGCTACCTTATCTTGAATCTGCTGCCCCCACCATCCTCACAGGCAGCAGGTCCTGGCCTGCTCCATGTGTGTGTGTGTGCAGGTGCCCACCACTCCTTGTAAGAAGCCCAGCCTGCTGTGTGTGTGTGCAGACGCTGGCTGCCCGGCTGAGTTGTGGGTGCATGTGCACATACAGCAGGCCCAGGCATACTGCCTGTGAGAATTGCGGTGGCTCTGGCAGCTTCAAGATAAGGTAGGGAGCAAATGGAGGTAGAGGGAGGGTGGCAGGAAGGTAGTTCCCTCCATAGCACAAACTTGAAAAACAAAATGCAAACTGTTTTTTGGGGGGGAGGTGATGGTTCATGGCTATGAGCAACAAACTATCATGAACCACCAAGTTTTCCGGTTCTTGCCCATCTCTGCAGCATACATTCGGAGATGAGTCCCACTGATTTTACATCTGCATCAGCTTGTTTGCAGCCTAGAGCAGTTGTCTGCAGTACATACGAAATGTTTATCTAAGGTGCTCAGACATTTCTCCAGTTGTATAAAACTTGCTAGTATAATGTATGGCATATTTTTATCTTAAAATCAATAGGAGAAAAGGTTTTAAAATCAAGTAAGTTTAATGGCTTCAGGGTAGAAGCCAAAACAAAGCACAGTGATTGAAGCTCATATTAACATTTTGGATGAAGCTGGTACAGTTTAAACAGATTATTCATCCCTTTTTTATATTTTTCAACCAGGCTGTCAATGAACATGAAGTCATTTATCCTCAGTTCCCAACCTTTAGGAATTTAGGTATTCTGTACTGTCAGATAAAATCAGCTGACATTTTGGGAATGTAAAATTTAAGTGTATCATTAAGTATTTTTTTAAAAAACTGATTTGGTTCCCCCCCCCCCCCCCCGCCTGCCCGACCTTCTTATC